AAAAAAAAAAAAAAAAAGGGGGAAAAATGCTTTTTCTTTTTAAAAAAAAAAAAAAAAAAAGAGAGAGATTCCATTCTCACACCCTCTGCCCTCTGCAGCTTCCTGGATGCTTGTGCTGGTCACATCCCAGATCCAATGGGATGGCAGAGTCCTCTGTGCAATCAGGGAGAGGGCTAAAGATGAAGGGAGGCTCCGGTCCCTTTGTCTTTGCAGCCCCTCACCCCCATCATACTCCCGTTTGCTCTTCTCCCTGGTCTGAGGGCTGGTAGGATGAGGTAGGGAATCAGACCAGTGTCTTTCGGGCCCATACAAAGCCTCCCGGAACTCCTCGCAAGGACCAGCCAATATTCTTCCTCCTTCTCCTCATCCTTGTTCTCCTACCAGTGCCTGAACATCCTTTCCCTACATCTCCACCTAGTGAAACAAAGCCCACTTGGCTTCAGGGCACAACACCAGTATCATCTTCCTTTGAGAAAGGTACTTTCTGCCCCTTTTCCACCCTTTGTCCAGGTTCGATTACTCTTTCCTTCTTTCCCGTTTCCACAACACTTTGTCATGACCTGGTGTAATACTTGCCATGTTCACTCCCAGTGGGCTGCTCTGGAGAACTGGGGGACCTTACTTAGATTAGTATCTGAGCTCCTAAAACAGTGCCTGATGCATAGTGCATGTCCAACGTATGTCTATTGAATAAATGAATGAATGAATAAATAAATAACATCATTCATGCCCTCCCACAAATAGTGAAAGATATTTATAAGCTCCATAAATATTTAAAATTGCTTTCCTCTTTATGGTTGTGGTACTTGATGGGAATACATTCTAAATGCATCTTATTAAATCTTTTTTATGTCTATGGATTTTTTTTTTTTTTAGTCAAAGGTGATAATTTTGGTGGGAATACATTCTAAATGCATCTTATTAAATCTTTTTTATGTCTATGGATTTTTTTTTTTTAGTCAAAGGTGATAATTTTGGGGGGAGGAAGCTATGTCCTTAAAATAAATTTTTGTTTGTAAAGCAATGGTTTGCTAAAGTGTGTTCAGCAAAATACTAGTTCCCTAGTGTGGTAATGGTTGTTAAGGAAAAAATGGTCTGGGAGCCAAAGGAAGTTTGGGAAAAGCTGGATTAATTAGGCTTCTCTACTGTGGGATGTCTAAAGCTTTGTTATGCTATTGCTTAGGAATATAAGACAGAGGAATATATACACAGTGCATTTCTGCAACCCTAGCTTAACACCTACTACAGTGCAAAGGGCCTTGTAGGGTTTTGGTATTTTGATATTAACTCATTGATGATACGTCCAAGGCCCTGATCAAAATCCCTGAGAAGGAGATGAATGATTATGTCTGTGGGAAGGGCCCAATTCTTCACCACCCTCTTCATATATACCACCTCTGCTCTGCACAACTGAAGAAAATAATTAAAGGGAATTAAAACATTACTTTATTTGTCACAGCAAGTTATCAAACATCTCCAGTGGACTATGCAGCAAATGATTGTGGTTTTAGAAATAACCTGTCAGCCCCAGTTGCTCTGCAGTAACTCCCAGGACTATTCCATAAATGCCAGCTCTCTGCACAGTAATTACCAGCTCTCTCCTTAGTCGGTTCACTGGTGTGTCTAGGAGTAATTGCTGGGGAACTCACACTTTCAAATTTACAAGAGCAAACAACCTTGTATTTACCTCGGGGGGTTATCAGGTATTCAAACTGTGCTGTGTAAAGGAAGCTGTTGATCACAGAAATGAGGGAAGAACTTGAATTTTCACCTTGGTACTTTTCTCAATGGGTGAGAGCCTGGAACTCTTAATTTACGGTGGAAAAACCTATGACCTCGGGGGGTTATCAGGTATTCAAACTGTGCTGTGTAAAGGAAGCTGTTGATCACAGAAACGAGGGAAGAACTTGAATTTTCACCTTGGTACTTTTCTCAATGGGTGAGAGCCTGGAACTCTAATTTACGGTGGAAAAACCTATAGTGGATAATTCTCTTCTTCTCAGGGGCTCTTCCCTTCCTTGAGGTTTGGAGCAGCAGTAAGTCCGACCTAACTATCACTGGAATCCTGGTTCAATCTAGATTCTCACCTCTGCCTTTGGTGTCCATCCTCTAGAGATCTCAGGGAACACGGAGGACATCCCTCTAGTGCGCTGGAGGCAGCAGTGGCTGGAGAATGGCACATTGCTTTTTCACATCCATCACCAAGATGGTGCCCCAAGCCTCCCTGGACAAGAACCAACCGAAGAACCCCAGCATGAGTCAGCAGAGGAAGAGCTGAGGATCCTTCACATCTCAGTCATGGTAAGAGCAGCATGGACTAGCCTCTCAGGCCATAGTTTATGTCACATGAAGAGTCTTGGTGGTGTAGGCATAGATCTATGAGACCCAACTCCATCGTGATCATTGATCATGTTAGTAAGTGAATTTCCGATTTGCAGAAAATGCATCCATCTGTGGTGTAAGTAAGTTGCAGCTGTTTCTACAGCACCATTTTCCAACTGTTCTCTCTAGAATGTGTCAAGATATGGAGTAACTTTTATAAACCAGAGATAATATTAGATGGGGCAGTAGATTGCCTTAGAAAGGAATTATTCAGCTAGCATATCAGAATATCTTAGAGGGGTTGCTCTGTATACATTTGTTGAATGGCTGAATCTCAAAGCTGCTATCAAGCCCTCCTTCCTTGTCTCCCAGACAGGAAGAAGTCAGCATCCTGGTGCTTTCTCCTCTTATGATAAAGAGTATCTCAACAGATTCTTTCTCCTCCCTCTAGAGCAGCTCAGAAACTTCACCACAGTCACCCCTTCTCCCATTTAGAAATTTGAAGTCTCAAGAAGACTAGAAGATTCTTCCTAAAATTCTAGGAATGTGTGTTTCAGAATCTCACTGAAAATTGAGGGCTATGATGGCAGGCAAAGGTTTGTGTTTGCTGATGTGTCCCCAGCACCTAGAACAAGGCATTCACATAGTCAATATTTGTGGAATAAATGAATGAATAAATTTCTTATGGAGAGAGAAAATACCTGTTGCCCTTAGTATTTTATATATTGGTATTGTGTTGGTAAACCAATACATTATTTGCTTGATATGGCCTGATAGCAAGTTGAGACTTGATGATTACCTGTGGGTCATAGGTATGGGAGGGCATGGGCCATTTCATTGTTAGGAAACTCAACACAGAACCAGTCTAGGTCTTGGACTAAACTTCATTTCACCTGTTGCTCTGGTACCATCACTGCACACTGTTTAGTTTTGTGTATCAGACTGAGGGAAACTGAGAATATTTTAGATATATGAAAATTTCCATTATCCCAAAATTTAGGATGGACAGTATCTCCATAGAGCCTCTGATAAAATCTCAGAATGTAAGCCTTTCATTTCTTCCTTAACCAGTGTCCCCATGAGTGGATTTATAGGTTACCTGCATGTACACAAGGCACTTTGTTGAAACTATATGGTGGAGAAAAGAATCCTTGAATAGCAAATTGGTTGTGGTACTCAATGTCCAGATGAGGCCAGAAGGCAGGCAGGTAGGTAAATGAGATTTCTGCATCTCACATTTACACATTAATTGAGGTTTATAGCATGAGAGTTACAGTACTTGTACATCCTTAATCAAGAAGCAGCATTTTCTCTTAGGGAAAGTTGTCTTCTTTAATGTAGCTTCTAGTTTCTGGAGAGGGGTGAGACCAGGCAGGTCAGCTGAATCAGCCCTGACACTGACTGGGGTGACAAATATAAAGTCCAGATTGCCTTCACATTTATAATATGGTTTCACTGCAAAGAAGGGTGCAGTGGTGGATTTCCCAGCAGCCATCCACATCCTCCCCAGTATGGAAGCAGTTGTGGTCATGGGCGGGTTTTTTTGGTTTAGTTTTCTTTCTTTTTTTTTTTTTGGTCTAAGACCATTTCATTGAAGATTTTATCATACCAAATAAATTTTTAGGATGAATAAAAGTGCACATAGAGACTTCCAGGGACGAATATTGAGTGTGATTGTGTCTGAAAGAAAGACCCTGAATACAAGAAGTTAAGATAGGCAATATGTCAGAAGGAGCGTTTAGTGGGGACTGAAGGTGTGGTGTGGGGATCTTCAGAAAGACAGTATGAAGCCTGACCTGGCTGGTGCATCATGTCTTCAGTGCAGCAAGGACCCCATTATCTATCTTCAGAATGAGGTGTTCCAGAGGTTTTTTAAAGAAGTGAGGTTGTGTGTGAGTGTGTGTGCAAATGCACACACTTGCTTTGAAGATAACAATATGCTAATCAAGGATGCCAAAAGATTTTAGGAATAAGTGGTGTCCTTAAAATATAACAATCCCTACAAGAAGCCATACATTACTATTGCTTTTTCATTAAATGTTTTGGGCAGTGGACACTGAAATGAAGAGAGAACAAGAGCCAGCCTAAAATCTTTCTCTGAGATCTTTCCTTTGTATGATACTACTCACCCATGGCAGACCACCAGTGATGTTCCATTTTCCAAATAAGATGAAAGAGATTATGCTTTCAACTTTATTTGAACTTATTCTATCTTGTTTTCAACCAGGCTGGAGGAGGCAGATGTTCAAAGAGTTTAGAAAAAGGGTGAGAGTGCAAAAGTCTTGTGTTGTCTCTGGCTTGGTCTCTCGGATGTGGATAGGCCCCCATTTCCATGAAAAATTCAGGAAGGCCATTGACTTGTTCAGGGGAACAGGGATCTCAGGTACACTGAAGGTAGAAGTATTTCCTCCCATCCTTGTCCAAGATGGTTGGGTCAATGGCGCCAAGGTCTCTCGGATGTGGATAGGCCCCCATTTCCATGAAAAATTCAGGAAGGCCATTGACTTGTGCAGGGGAACAGGGATCTCAGGTACACTGAAGGTAGAAGTATTTCCTCCCATCCTTGTCCAAGATGGTTTGGTCAATGGCGCCAACTGCAGCCCACCCAGCCATCTCACCCTTCTCCATTCCCATTCCTTCCACACACCCTCGTACACTGCCTCTCCTGTCCTTAGGATTTTATTCCAGAAACAATTTCAAAGTCTGAAGTTGTGTATCTGCCCTCAGCTTAGAAATCAAGCCTGAGGGTATCCTGTTTGAAGTTGTCTTTCCTAGAGTCTCTGATGGCTTCTTCTTAAGAGACTCAGGGATTGGTAGACTATATTCGATACACTTTATACCACATCCTTTGCAACAAAAGGAGGCAGCTACTTGAGGAATCTGGAATAACATCATTACAAATGTCAGAAAATCAAAATTCTTTGACTAGTAACAGTGTTGGGCAGTGAAATGTACTTAAATGAAATCTTATTACCCAAACCCTGTTAGTTATGAAATAACAATAGCAAGGCGATTTTTCATTAACTCTAACGATCGATATTGATGCAGTTTTCAGATTGGATCAAAATAGCATAATTCAAAAGAAGAGAAAAGTTAAGGTTATTATCAAAACATGAATACATCCAAACTTTTCTTTCTTGTTAAGAAATATATATTTAAAAGCTTATAATTCTAAGTATTCCCAATGTGTGCAAGGAAATTAATGGTTCTGTGAAACCTCAAAGTTTACATTTCTCTCATTTTTATTATACTTTTCTCAACCATATTGCCTCAATGCAGGCACTCCTTTTTATTTTTGTATTTTTCATTTACTATGTTTTGTTTTAAACACCAAATATAAGTGACGAGACAATGAAAAGTAAAAGTAAACCTTTTTTGTATCCTTACGACATTGTATGAATGAGAATTTGCAAGTCCTCTCTTATACTGTGCCCAGTATAAATCTGTCATCAGCAAAATTGTGGGCTAGCAGAAAACCAATACCGCAGCTGGGAACCTGGCAATTTAAAACTTTGAAAAACCTTTTGCTTTTCTTATTTTTTCAATCACATTCTAAAATTTTTGAATTATTTTTTCCAAAGAGGTACTGTTTCTTTGTGTAGAATGACTGGATTTCCCTCCTAAAATCTTACATTATTGCTTTGAGGGTCAAATGATGTATTTTATTTTATTTATTTATTTATTTATTTTTAAAGATGACCGGTAAGGGGATCTTAACCCTTGANGCACTCTCCCGAGTGAGCCACGGGCCAGCCCCAAATGATGTATTTTAGCCTCTTTTATGATTCAAACTTGGCTGAAGAGATTTATTTCAAATTTTGCAAGATAATTGACATTCAGAACTATGAAAGCACATAAGCATACTCTTTCTCAAACGCTTGAAGAGAAAGCAGACTTGGCAAATGAAAACCGAGCATGAGTTTCAACCAAAAGTAAAGGAATTGTTTAGTTATAAGGCAAAGTGCTTACTCCATAGAAGACCAGGTTTTAATATGACTTTATATCAGATATTTGTTCAGACTCTGCGTAGATTTAAATTTCCATACTGTACTTTTGCTAAATTACCGTACGATCTACATTTTTCTTCTTCAAGTATGCAACAGCATTAATGGCGCATAGTAGAATTTAAATGTATTTTCTATACATTTCATCTTTGTAATTAAAGATGGCGGTGTTAATAGATTTTCTATATTCATATAGGTTGGTTAAGTATATTTTTCACAGCAAGGAGCCTTTCAGAAATGCTTTGCTTTATGGTCAATGGATGTTATTTGTTTAGTTCAATTGAAGATGCCCTAATTTATCAGGACCTATTCTTTAAGAAACAGATGAAGGAGTTTAGACATGTTTATTGTTACCAAAAAGAACAGGCCTAGAGTAGTAAATTGGAAAGTACAAAAAGGCAGGTCTTGATTTAGTTCAAGGAAGACTTTTCTAGAAATTTAAAGCAATCCATGGAACTGGACTGACTTACTGGTCATATTGTCCCCCTGCCAGAGCCAACATTGTGTATTTTACCTTCCTTTAGGGTAATGGTGGGCAGTTTCTAAAATAATCAGCAAGATCCTTAAAACAAAATCTCTTTTCTCTTTGCCCGTCTCTTTTTTTTTTTTTTTTTTTTAAAGATGACCGGTAAGGGGATCTTAACCCTTGGCTTGGTGTTGTCAGCACCACACTCTCAGAAGTGAGCAAACCGGCCATCCCTATATGGGATCCGAACCCGTGGCCTTGGTGTTATCAGCACCGCACTCTCCCGAGTGAGCCACAGGCCGGCCCTATCTTTGCCTGTCTCTGAAAGCCTGATGTGCAAAAGCCTGGAGATGCCATGGTCCATTTGGGGACTATGCCAAGTGCCGAGTAAGGTTTGGCTTGTAATCCTTCCTTACTTGGCACCATGGGATGGCTCTGCGTCTCTTGCCAAGATGCATGAGGTGCAGGTATACACGAATCTAGCAGTTGTTGCAGCCACTCATCGTCCA